GCTTCTCGCTCTGCGTGGCTTTTCCCGCCCCCCAGTTTAAGCGGCCCCTCCACCCCACCGCCCATGTTAGACATTTCTTTTTTGTTTGTTCACTGCCTGTCTCTGCCCCGATCTGCGGGGGAGTGGTCTGTGTCTCCTCCCATCATGAGGAACAGTCCTCGGCCCTGGGTACCTGCTCAGTAAATGTCCCAGAGCCGAACGCAGGAGTGACCTGAACACCCATCCGCTTCGCTTAGCTCTTCCCTCCTTCTCGGTTTTCAAGCGACAGATTCTTTCATTCACACCGATCCGGGTTTCGTTCAGAGGAAGAGGCAGATATTCGTGTTAAGTCTCTGAGTCTGACAATTATTTCTTGTTCACCTTTGGCTTCTGGAGCTTCTAGGTTGTCTGCTGAATTTAATGGGTATCCAGGAGGATGGCAGCTGGTAGCCTTGGCGGGAATCAGTCACGGTACGAGGGAGGAAAGAGGCGGTCGAGAATGATTAAGGGAAAAGAGCGGAAAAGTATGATTTAACATTTATGGAGTCACACATTGTACTCAGCGCTGTGTATATAACATACAAAGCGAATTAGGAGACAAGTCAGATTTAAGACGAGTGTGCACACACTAGCACACAAATACTGCAAAGACGAAGGTATTTCTTTAGATGTCTCCTCTCATTTACCAAACTGGAGTCTTGTCAAAATCTATGGGCTGGTTCAGGACAGAAATATCGCAGCTGGTGTTTGCGGCCCAGTCACGCCCCGTGGGGCACAGACAGGCGTGCAGTTCCATTACTGCTTTTTAAAGAAACTTTCTGTAAGGCTAACAGACTTTCTAGGGAGGCCAGACTGAGTGAAGCCGAGTTTAATGTTCTCATTAAAATGTTAAAGAGGCTTTATTCATGAACGATTGAAGCCGTAATTGCTTTACCCTTGTAAACTATGAAAATGCGTGGTGGCCCCTCACAGCCGAGTTCGAGTTCGCCCAGTCCTGTCTGTCTTCACGGAGCCCTTGGCTGGATCTGGGGTCCCAGAAGTGGCTTCTCTGGACTGTGTTTTTCCAGGTGTAGAGGAGGCGTCGGTTGGGGTACCCATATGTCATTTCAAACTCGTTCCGTCGATCTCGTCTTGTGAGCGCCGTCGGACTTCTCGATCTGGAGTTCTGCTTTGGAAAGGACATGGGAGATGAACACACATGTACACACGAATGTTAGGGAAGGAAGCGTTTCTTTACTCTCCCAGAAGCGGCAGCTTACGGGAGAACAGAGAAAGTACGCGGATGCTGAGGTTCTGGCGAGACCGACCAGGGAATTCACCGGGAGAGGCTGTCGCGTGAATCGCGGGCTGGGGGGCGGGGAGAGGGCGCTTGGAACCCGCTTTGGGAGGTGGCATGTTTTCTGTGCTGCTCTTTGTCATTCTTACAACCCCAGTACGAAAACATAGCTCTACAATTTTAGGTAGTGAATGCGGATGGCAAATGCAACTGTTTTTTTTTTTTTTTTTCCCCCCTGGAAATACTTATAATGAGGTATAGACAAGACTGACATCATGGAGCTGAGGTTCTTACATAGCTGGAAACCTCCAAATAACATTTAGGGGGCTGGGGGAGATTAAACCATACAGTCTCTTCTCCAGTTCCTTATTATTAGAAAACCCTTTTTGTTGGATAGTAACAAAGCTCACCTCGCGATATACAGTATAGTGATATAAACAGTTTCCAGGGATTGTCTTCGAATAGTTATTTTTTTCTTTTTCCATGAATGGGTCATTAAGCTACTTCCTTCTCTAGATTAAAGTGCATATGTCCTAGAGTTGTCAAACTCTTTTCTTCAAGGGTCAAACCCTTCTTCTCATATGCTAGCTTAGGGCGCTTGTTAAAACCGGTTCAAATAGAGTTGAAAGCTAACACAAGACAGTCTCTCTACGTGATCGATTGGATAGAGGTCTGAAGAGATTTTTTCTGGAGCCGTCGCCATCTCAGTCCACTGATGAGAATGACGTTACTGTCAAAAAACCTCTCAGTTTTTGAACATGAAGTGAATTCAGAACAAGATAAAACAAATTACCGCTGCTGGCTGGGCCAGCTGTGCTTCCAAACTCTTGGTTTATTGAGATGTAATGACTTGCAGCCCCTGTTTTGGGGACCTGCTAACCTGGTCCCCAAATTCCGAGGTGAATCCAGAGAGGCTGGGGACTCTTAAGGTTCTAGTCAGCCACAGTTTAACCCATTAGGCCCGTTCTTCCCCTCATGTAAAGTGGGATTACAATCCCTCTCCTGGTCTGTGGAATGAATCCATTCTGGAGCTTTCTCAGCTTAGAAGATCTTGGTGGCCTGTGACCAGGTCCTCACCTCCCTACTATGACTCAGAAACCGCTGAGGAAGCGTATTGGTGTGATGAGGCCATCAGTAATCATAGGGGAGGGACCAAGTATCGAGGGAGCAAATGGAGGGATCAAATAATTTATCCGAGGCTCCTGTATTTTTCTGAGAACGTTCGTCTGCTTTTTCCTGTTTTTCCATTGTCTTATATGCTATTAAAATGTTAGTTGTCACCAATGACTGCTCAGCGTCCCTCTTTCCTTTCTAATTTGTGGGGGTGAGTTACATCCAAGACCCTATGTTGACCTTATGATTAGGGGACAATGCTAAAAACCTAGGAGGATTCTCCAAAGTGTATTAGCGTCTGGTAGTATTTTCCTCCAGCTACTTAATTCTGTTATGTCTTCGCCTTATATTGATTGGTCGGTTAATTGTTTGATTCATTAACTCATTCATTCATCAGAGAGTCGGGGAACATATACCGTCTGCCAGTGGCATGTACTACACCTAGGTACTGGGAAAAAGGGTGGGCAAACCTAATTCGGTCTACGAAGTTTTGCAGATAGTTCGTGGAGATTGAAAATTAGAGAGCGAAATAGCTAAAGGACACCGAATTGCTTTCCTTCCATTCGGAAAGCACGGGTGAGGTCGCCGCATCGCAGCCCCCTCCGCGGGGTTCTCCGTAAGGGCGTTTCGTGCGGGAAGCGGCACCAGATATTTTCTCTATCACAATAACTTTCGTACCTTCGTTAAGCTGTCACTCGTAAGGCTTCCTGATGGGGCACCGAGCGAGCCTTTTCGCGTGCCGCCCGCGTCTTAGCTCCAGCGTGGCATCCATCTGCCCCGGGCCGGCCGTGGGGCTCCCGTGAGCCATTCCAGGAGGGTTCCTGGCAGGTGCACAAAGAGGGACGATACTGAGTAAAGGGCGGGGTTTCCGGTGGGTCGGAGGGCGGGGATTGCACTTCCGGAAAAGCGGGCATGGAGCGAGGCCCCGTCGCCCTGTTTGTGTTACGTCTTCGTACCCTTTGAGCGCGGCAGTCACGGATCCCAGAACTGTTTTACATTTTAAACTAGGCTAAGAAAACGCTGGCCGAGTACATCGTAAGAGGCGTCCTTTTCCTTCTCCACGGTCCGGTCTGCCCGGCAGCAGGTCGGGACGCTCCGAGAGCTCCATGTGCGAGGACGGGGCCGCCGTCCCCGCCGCGCCCCGGGTTCGAGAGGCCTGGCCGCATGCCGGCAGCGGACAGGGGACTCTCGGGAAGGAGGGAGCCGAGAAGAGGGGGACCGACCTTCGGGGATCTTAGCGAAGAAAAGTGCGGGAAAGACGCGCGACGTTCGACCGTCCTTGCTCCTCCCCCTCCCCTCCAGCCTCTCACAAAAGCGGGCGGTGGGAAGGGAAGGGGTTGGATTAGAGACGGGGTGGGGGGCCCTTGCAGGTCCCCGGAGGCAGTGAGCGGGGAGGAGACAGGATCAGGGTTACTTAAATACAGGGGGACGGACAGGCGGGAGAGGGGAGGGCACCCCACGTGCTGGTCACACCGAGCCTTCAGCTGCTCCCAGGGGCGCACCTGCCGAACAGCCGCTGTCCCTGCCCGAACAGCCGGTGTCCCTGCCCGAAGACGTTTTCCTGGCTTCCGTGCGGACTCTAAGGCCATTCTCTTTCTGGCCGCCGCGTTGCCGGATGCAGCGTCATCGACACTCTGTGTGGTCGGACAGCACATGTGCAGGCGCAGCTGTGTGACGTCGGCCCCGCGCAGTGCTCCACAGACTTCTGGGTCACTTTTTCTCGCATTTGATGTTTGCCAGTCCTCCTCGTCTACAAGGGAGCTCAGTTGAAAAGGGAAAAAAAAATGTTGCTCAGGGATGCCGCGTTTATAGCTCGTGCATACAGCTATTCAAAGTGGTTGGGAAAAAAAACAAAAAAAAAAAACTGTAAAGTCATGATCCCATAGTTTTTCTAAGGAAGGTAGCTGACTCTTTTGTTACTGGTCTGGGAACTTGGCCTAAGTCAGCGCCACACTCACTGTGCCTAACGGAGGGCTCCGTCTCGAAAAATCTTTCCTCTTCTCTTTAGGAAGCTCAGCCCGGGAAGCCTTCCCAGTGTCCCTGGTGTGGTTCAGGTGCCGTCATAGCCCAGCGCCCTCCTCTGTGGCCTGGCGTTTGTGCTGACCTTCCCGTGTGGCAGCTGCCATCCCGGGCTGTGCTGTGCGGTCTGTCCTTCCACCAGGTTTAAGTTTTAAGTCCCAAAGTCATCTTTCGTCTTGGAAACTGGCAAGAAGTCTTTTTCACACTTAAAAATGTGATCCTATACGGGCCAGCCCCCGAAACTGCTTTCAAATGACACTAGGTTATATTACCTTAAAGAACCAAGAGCTTTCCTTGTTTAGGCTTTCTCAGATCGGGAGGCCCTGGCCCTAGCTGCTTTAGTGATAAAGACCACTTTTAAAGCAGAAATATTCTCCGGATGATTGACAGCTCCGAGGCTGTGTCCGTGATGAGACCTTCACATTTCCCGGTTGTCACCAGGTTAGCACCATGCAGAGGCCTTCCTTCTGTAAGGACAGCGAGCTGGCAACGGGAGAGGGCAGTGCGCAGCCTGAACTTGGCAAGTGAAGCCTTGGGTCCACTTACGTGTGTTCAGGCAGCTCTCTGAATTTGATGTTCGAAGTGTTTTTCTAACGAGATGGCCTTTCTTTTACAGGTCCTTTGCGGCCAGCATGATATTGTATTTATAACACGTGGAGGAGAGAGAGCTCGCCGTGGTCAGGTAAGAGGCTGGCATGGACAGCAAGTGACCAGCGGGACTCAGGGCAGGACGTTTGTCACTGTGTGAGAAGTGACTCAGCTCAGTCATCCCACTGACATCATTCTCTGACGCGTGTTTTACTCACTTATGCCTGGGGCGCAGAGGGCCTGTCATATCTCAGTGACCACGTGCGCCAGGGAGCATCAGCAAAGCACCTGCAGCAAACCTCTGTAAACAACCAGTAAGGAAATAGGACTGGTCACCCGAACTCTCTTTCCCGCTCCTACAGAGTTAAGGTAGAATGATTACTATGGCTCATCATTATTACCTTATCAGAAGGCTTTTATCTTTTCAATAGTTATGTAAATATGCGACTACTGAAGACTCTTCTAATTAAAGTCTTATCTCTGTCCCTTTATCTGAAGTTGCTGTTCTAAATATTCTTTGCATTTTCTTTTAAAACAAACGCATGTCTCACAACTTTGATTTACCCAAATAGGTCACCAAGATTAATTTTCCATTAACCTTTATTGCTTCTGTTTCTTTCTAATCATCTTTTTAGAGGATTAAACAGTCCCCACTGGGTCGGCCTCTGCATAGACTATGAGCCATTGTTTTCTTCCATGGAGCTGATGGAAGAGGCGGTGTAGAAGGTGGTGCCCGGTGGTCCAGTGACCGCACTGGCCTCATTAGCTGAGTGGAAGCGTCTGTAGATAGAGCCACAGGACGAGTTCTGTGGACCGTGGCGATCTCGTGATTGGCCACACTTCTTTTGTGATCCAGTCTGTGTTAGTTTTCTCTGGTGGCCCTAAGGAATTAGCACAGACCGGGTGGCCGAAATGACAGACACTCATCTCACGGGTCAGGAGGCTGGAAATCCAAGATCGGAGTATAAACAGCATTGGTTCCTCCTGAGAGTTTCGAGGAAGAATATGTTTCAGAACTTTCTCCTAGCTTCTGGTGGCCTCGGGTGTTCCTGGCCTTAGGTGAGCATCTTCTCCTTGTGTCTTTACGTTGACTTCCTTCTACGTCTGTCTGTCTCTGTGTTCAAATTTCCTCTTTTTGTCAGGATACCTGTCATAGTGGATTAGGGACCGTTTTCATCACCTCATCGTAACTCAACCCTCTGCAAAGACTCGACTTCTAAACAGAGTCCCCTTTACATATATGAGAAATGAGGACTTCCGCATCTTTTTGGAATACACGCTTCAACCCATAACCCTGTCTTAGGGAAGAAGGCTTAATTCCTTTTGGTGAACCCCTCAGGAGACTCGCGCAGTGCCTGTTGCTTCATATTGGTCGAATGAGCGAATGGCAAAGTCTGTGATTTTAAAAGGTCAAGTGCAGTGACCAGAGGTGGGCAGGTGTTACACTGACCCTTGTCCTCAGTGAACTCTTACTTTCAGAGGTGTCCAAGTTAAACAGCATCGTAAATGCGGTAAGATTTTTCCCGTTAAGGCAAAAGCGAGTAGCATTTTTAGAAAATAGAACGCTCTGTGCGAGTGAGCCCTGCATTCTCTGTGGGCCTCGCAGGCTGAACTGCCAATTTACATGCTGCCTGTGTCAGTACATCAAGATATCTTTCCAGCTCATTCAATACCATTTAAATCAGACTTAGGCAGGCTAGTCTTTCCTTCCAACCGCATCGCCTCGCACTCACTCTTATTAAATTTAATGTTTTATTCCCTACCACTAATCTATAAACACTATCCTGAAACAGATCTGCTCTAGTTACGTCTTCTCTCTTTTCTGTGCGTCTTTAGATCAAAATCATTAGAAGGTATATCTTTTGAGTGTTTAGATTTGACCGCCGATAAAATATAAGGATTCTGGTCTCAAGGTAGCGCTTAAATGATCCTGTTTAGAGATGTTTATTTAGAAAGCCCTTGTATTCTGTAAGTGTAGAGCTTTCAGACCATATCTGCTCTTACTTCCAAGAAAGAAGTACCTCTTCGTAACAGAAAGAAGCCTTCTGCTGTGAGAGGTCAAAGGCCAGTGGGATTTCCTCCGAGAGCGAAGCATGCATCTTTAGGGCCCATGACTTCCTGTCAGCCCTTGGCTAGCGCTACGTGTGGGCAGGCCGGCCTCTAGACTCTGACTGTGGCTCAGGCCCTGCCTGCCCGAGGCTGAGCAGCAGGCGGCTGGAACAGTGGACTTACAACATCCCGACCCCTCATTCCCAAGGGGGACTCACGGTCAAGGGATAGCACTGGCCTAGACAGCCCTGGATTTATAAGACCATGACGGGTAGTAAAAACGCAGGTGACAATAGAAACTCGTTTTAGCATTTTTTCACCCTGACATTGATCCGAAGAAAATTGGCACATCAAAGGACATCCATTTCTGGGGTGTGTGATGCGCGCAGGCTCGGTTCCCCCAAATGTCCTGTACAGAGGGGTGACGCCATCCTGGGGCCTCCACTGCTTCCTCTTCTGGTCCGTTTTGTCCAAGCGCTTACTACCCTTTGTTAGAGACTTCTGTGACTGATCACGCGGGTCTCCTGCTTGTTTGGTTTGCGAGAACGTTTAAGGCTTCACTAAAATTAAAACAGTTAATTTGTATTTGTCACACAAGGAGCATATCAGAGTGACGGTAGACTAGCCCCTCGGCAGTGACACTTAGAGTTCAGTGCGCAGTCGCTTTCTGGCCATGAAACTGCCCTTGAACACCCTGCTTCGTGCTCTGCAGTGTGTACGCACCACTACAATGACAGCGGTCGAAGAAATCTTAATAACCGGGTTATTTTACGTGTGCCTGATTTCATCGGTACCTAACTTCTCTGCTAGTAAAGAAAAAACAAACCGGAAATAAAACCTCTAGTGCCCTGAAAAAGAATTTATTGTTGCTTAGTCTTTTCCCACTTCCGTTTTGCGTTCTCCAGCTACACTAATTTTAGATTTCTGACAATTCAGCTGTCGGAGCTCTGCGTGATTGATAATAAACGTATTCATTGTCAAACTCTGATTTTAAAAAAAGGGGAAATGATTTCCACGTCTTTTTAGTTAGTAATTAACGTGGCCATCTTTTTTAGACTTCTGAAATTAGAACGTCTTTATGGATACCTGGGAGATATTTAAATTAAATTAATTACACTTCGAATCGAGATTCTATCCAAATTTCTCCCGTAAGTGCAGCACGTGGGTAAGTTAAAATACGAATCTCGGTGTTCGTTCTCTCTGGGTGTTTCTTCTGCCTCTGTCTCTTGATGGTTGCTTCTTCGCGTCTCGTGGGTTTATGTCCGGTGCTCTTGAGCCGATGATGTGGGGCAGTGGGCTTCTGACGGAGAACTCAGAGGCGGTCTGCTTCATCTCTCGCTTCTCCTGCAGCTCGTTATCCCTGAGTTCTGTCAAGGTTCTATAATTCTTCCCTATTTTCACTTTTCTTCTCTTCACCTTGCGAGCATCCTTTTCCAGGCTTTTCGTTTTTGGGGTTTTTTTTTTTTATTCCTTTCTTATTCGTACAACCATTCAGCCTGTTCCTTTGTCTGTTGTTTTGTCATTCATTCATTCATACATCATCTTTCTCACGTGGGGCGAAATATTGCTCCGGGGACAACATCAAGGACATTCTAATTTAGGTGGAAACGATGGTGTAGAAATTGCCACTGCAACGGAGCTGTGTACTAAGTACACCTTACGTATGGAGAAGAGCAGCTCGCTCGGCTTCTCGGAGGCAGGGAATGCTTTGTAGGGAAGATGGGATTTGAGTGGAGGTTGGAAGGAGTAGAACTTTTCCAGGTGGACAGGCGCGGTGGACCGAGAACATTCTGAAGGAGATGGAGGGTGGGGGCTTAGCAAGGAGGGGTCAGGGGGCCAGGTGTGTCTTTGTACACCTTGCGGATGGGGCGATCTGGGGCATGATGTAGGAGGATGACGTCGAGGTTCCGCAGGGAGGCAGGAACCAAGTCTCGGAGGTCCCTTACGTACTGCCGAGCCTCCCTCTCTGCCTCGTGTCTACAGATTGCAGTTGGCTTCGGACCCTCCTGCCTGCTGCAGCCAGCTGGCTGTGTAAAGGCTGCTGGTCTTCTGCCAAACTCCTCCTTCTAGAGCAGCGGTCTCCGAATCTAGTGGCACCAAGGACCGGTGCTCCCATGAGCATCTGCCTAATGCCTGATGATCCGAGGCGGAGCCGAGGCGGTGATGCTGGCGCTGGGGAGCGGCTGCAGATACGGATGAAGCTTCACTTACTTGCCTCTCACTTCCTGCTGTGTGGCTTGGTTCTTAACAGGCCACGGACCAGTATCAGTCTGTGGCCTGGGGGTTGGGGTCCCCTGTTCTAGAGGGAAGTCAGGCGTTCCTAAGCTGGCACTCGAAGATCTCAGCCTTTTCTGTCTCTTATTTACTCTGGAAATCACCTACTCAAGCCCAGGTTGCCTGCTTTGCTCCCCACAACAGTTCCTCCCCCTTCCTAGCTTCTGTCTTCACGGTCCCCCCATCCTTCAAGATATCACTCAAATTCGTACTCTTTATGAAACTTTTTCTCCACTCACCAGTAACTTTGCCCCTTCTGGACTTCAGGAGAACTTTCTATGGACTCTCCATAGTTTTCACTTATGTCACAAGTTAGTTGTGACACTCTCAGAAGGACTGCTGGGTGTGGAAGGGAAGGGCTGTCTACCTGTCGTGTATGCCGTTTCTCCCGTAAGTGCAGTGTCTTGCACACGGGGGGCTCTGCCTTGGTGTTTGTTCAGTGGAGGGAGGCGGTTCCTTTAATTTGGACGAGGCAGTGGTTAATGAAACGTCCAGAGGAAACTCTTGCAGAATAATTGTCTGTGAAGGTAGAAGGATTCTAGTGAACAGGAAGCAGTGAGGTGTCCACTTTGAAAACTAGTTACACTGCCTTTGGGCTTAGACGTGGGAAGAAGAAAGTTAGGAAGCCGTTAAGCCACATGTGATCGGTCTTGACGGTGAGTGACAAGTGACATTACCAGGTAAAAGCACCTGTCCTGCATTATGATGCTCTGCATCTTTGTACAAGATGGCCTCTGGAAAACTTGATTTAATTTCATTCTCCTCGGTTGC